ATAGAATGTTTTGAGTTACATGCAGTGTAAAATGAACCGAGAAACCTATCGAATATGACCCAGGAATGCAAAGATGGCGGTGTGGTTCCAGACAGCGGTTAACGGTCAGGAGGCCTTCAGCGAGGCCTTGACGTAGACTGTTTGGGGGTAAGGGTTTACGGTTTGAGGTTCCCGTCTTTTCGGGCTTAAGTTTAGGGTTCAAAAGGCTGAAGTGGCTGAGGGTTTACAGGGTGGAGGACGTATAAGGGTCTAGGGTCTGCGATAGAACGTCAAGATATTGAACAAAAATATCACTATAAGTACTGCTCTATGAATGCTTGTGGTTTAGGCACCAGTCGTTCTGCGTAATAAGAGCTTAAACGATTAGCCGCTAGGAAGAAAGCCTAGGCCTGAGCCTCAGCTACAGTGAATGCTGAATGCCGACATCGGGCCCCGGCCCCAAGCGGGCCAGATTTCGGGCGCCAGGTTCAAAGTTAAGGATGTCCTGAGCCTCAAAAACTCGAAACAGTGCGAGCGTAGACTGTGCGAAGGCGTCGGAGACCTTGAACATTATCGAGCAGCTCGGCCCAGACAGGCAACACCGAAGGTTGCCGCTCAGCATCTGTAGCACTACTGGTTTTCAGTACGCATTAGCTAATGTTCAGGCAGTTCGAGGACGCCAGATATGTACATCCCAACTATTCGGAACCTTATTGAAAGACCCTTCAAGAGCTCCTAATTTTCGACGCCACCATATGGTCGACAGGGGCCAAAGACCGGGTCATTTAAAGTCAGAGGTCGAAGCCCTTGTATCTTGAAGTGCACAGCGAAAGCATAAGCCTTAAACCCTAATTCTTCCAGCAATCATTTTAGGCCTGTTGCCTCGAGTTTGCAGTTCTGTACCTGCATGCGACATTGGACTGAAGAGGGCCTTGACCAAAAAATGTCGGCTTGCAGTTGGTCCACAGGCGCAGCATGCGCAACATTACCTGCACTCTCGTCTTCTTTTGCAACTGCCAACGAATCAGGTACCGCGTAAGCCAGACCTGTCATCTTTGCCCTTACGGCCCATCGCCTGAAGCAAGGAGTTACCTAGTGTGGGACGCCACTAGACGGGAACTCAGGGTGACGGCTCTCGGAGTACGACCTAACTGGCATCAGGTTCGTGAGTACTGAACGCAGTGGCTCACATTGAGGGTGACGGAGGATGCTGTGGAGTAGATGCATCCCGGACCTGAAGAGATAGTTTCACGAGTGCAGGTAATCACCAGCGCCCGCTATGCGGAGAGCATGCTCGCGCCGCGTTCAATTGTTTTTTTTTTGTTGTTGTTGTTGGCAGCACGTGCGTCTGCCGTCGCGTGGGGTGGTGGATTTTTTTGGCTGGCATGTGCTGAAACTCGAGTTTTGGCACTTTGCTCAATCGGGAAAAATTTGGGTTTTGTTTTTTGTCGGTATTTGCGGTGTTTTCTCGCAAAAAAAGGCGCAACCGGCACGCTGCACTGTCCAAAAACATGCTCAGCTCTCCATTTCGCGTCGTTTGTTTCGGTGTTCTCTTGTCTGTGTCGCATTTCCATCGGTTTTTGCAGTGTTTTTGCCATCTCTCGACTTTCTGCACATGCCGGCTTCAACTTGCATTTGTCTTTCAAGTCTGTGCGGGGGTTTGGGGGTGGGGGTTGGTGTCGTCCATGCGAATGCGACTTGTTGTTTCTTTTTCTTTTGTTGTTTCCTATGTGTCGGGTTTCGCATCGGTTTTTACGGCGTTTTTGCCGATTCTCGACTTTTTGCACTAGACTTGCGTTTGTCTTTCAGCTCTGTGCGCGGGTGGGCGGGGGGGGGAAGGGGGGGGGGTGACGACGTCCATGCGAATGCGGCTTCTGTCTTCTGTTTCTTTTGTTGCGTTACTTCTCAGACGCTGCCGGTTTCTCTGTGAGGCCCTTGTTGCCGCTTCTTATTGCTTCATTTTTGAAGCGTCGACCATGCAAAAAGCTCGAGTTTTTGCAGCATTCAAGACAACAACTTGGAAAACGACGCAAAACATCAACCCCAAAAAAGCCAGAAACACATGGTATTTGCAACACTTTCGCAAAAACGCTACCCAAAAAAACAGAACAAAGAACATGGGTTTTCGAAAACGCCGAGACATCGAATTGTTGACGAATAAACCTCGCAAATTACAGGGTTTGCTTGACTTCGACCGAAACAACCTCCCAACAATAAACGACACACCCCGCGCGGCGGCAGACGCACGTGCTACCTTGTCGTTGTTGTTGTTGTTGCTGCTGCCGTTGTTGTTGTAGTAGCTGCCGCGGACCACAGAAAACAGAGTTTGCACCCCTGGACATGCTGTTCAGCCAGACTGGGATAGATGGGAACTTCATAAAGCAAAGCACCCTTTTTCAGAAGGCTGCATGATGGGATCATATCATTAAGGGTTCATTCATTTTCACATATTTTCCTAACTACAATTCCACTATCCTAAATGCAAGTACCGAAGTCTGGCACATAGACATTCATGGTAAATATGGATATCCCCAAACGGTAGCCTTAGTTTTCTGAAGCCCCAGATATGATTTAAATGCTAAGACCAGGCACAAACCGCCGGAGTCCTTTTTGAAGGTCGTTGCCGATAAGAAGCTCATGGCACTCGATTCTTGACGTGTGGGGCGCGACGCGGGTTAGGGCTGTAAGGAATTGGGGTGTTGGTTGTTGGGTGTCCATCCTCTAGAGGTTGGTGGGTGTGTTGCTATAAAAGCTTCTAGTGTGGTTTCCTGGATGTTAAGTTTGGATTTTGCGACGTTAAAGTTTACAGGGGTGTTCAAGTTTTCAGGGTAAGGGCTAGGGGCCCGGCTTCCAGGCTGGCTTTTGGTTGCTGTCCGGTTTGGGGTTGTGGGGTTTGGGGCTTCTCCGCTGTCAAGTAACAGACTGGCCAAGCCAGCCCCAGCGGGGCCTACAATCTGATTACGAAGGCTTGTGCATGTCCTTTTTTTGGGCAGTATGGATGGAGGCTGTGCTGGGTTCAGTGCCTTCAATCTCTGGTGTTTCGGAAGCCTCCCCACGTTCCCGTTTCAGATCCGATGGGTTGCCAAACGTGCTGGCAACGAGACGCTGCACAGGTAGACATGCTGAAACCTAAAACTTCAGCCGCGAGACCCCAAACCTTCAGCCTTCGGGAGGGGAAAAGAACTACGTTAAGGCTGCATGGTTTTGGGGTATTTCGCGGGGATTGGATGGCTACTGAGTTCAAATCCAGGTTAGTGTTGCGCATCTTGACATTGGTTTCATTCATGCGGCTAAACCCTTATATCCTGAACCCCCTGTTGAGGGTCTGCCCACGAACTATCGGTCTCGAACTGCTGATCCGTGCGCTTTAAACTCTACACCTGTAGCCCCCTTTGTCTGGTTTGGGGCTCTGGGCATGGTAGATCATGAAACGCTAGATGATTGAAACGTTGTAACCCGAAGCCGCGAAAACCCACTACACCCCAAACAGCTCCGACCCGAGTCCGAAGCAACCCATCTTACTTGAGCCTAGTCCTTCTGACCATTAAACCGTGTGAGCCCGGGGCATGGTAAGGTCGATGGAGGCTTGACGGACAACACTGGCATCGGCAATGCTCTCGCTGCTGGCAGTCGCGAGGCTTCTGCTTCGGTATGTTGTAGTAACCGTGTAGGTTTAAGACTTTAAGTGTTTGGAGGGCCGTAAGCTTTCGGGGGCCAGCAAGACCTTAGGAAAAACAACTCCAAAGATCCCAAAAGTCCTGTAAAGGACATGAAGCCCGTGAACGGTTTGGGTGATGTCGGATCGTGACTTGAGCAAGGTCCAAGGTTCCAGCCCGAAGCTCTACATCCCCAAACCCTCCGGATGTGAGGATTGTTGAATTTAGGTTTGAGCCTTCATGATATGCGGAGTCAGATGCGGGGTTCAAATCACGATGACGATCCGATATTGGTAATCAGAAACCTGAGACACGGCTGGCAGGCACTATGAATTTGAGGCATCCGCAAAAACTAGTGTTGTTTCGAAGCGGAATGCTTCGAGCAACCAGACACTTCCCGGATCGGCTGGGCACACTGAAACAAAACCGGAAAAAACAGGGCGGGACACGCCATTGCTCGAAGCATGTCTCGCGTCTCGTCCGTCTTCTCGAACATCCAAATCATCACGTCTGCCAGCGTTTTGCTGGCTTTCTAGTACATGCGAAAAACACGCACGTGCATGTCTGTGTCTGTTACAGGCAGGGTTAAGAGGTAAGGAAGGTTTGGGCTTCGAGCTTTGAAATGCCAGGTGATGACTCAAGGTGTTGTGATCTCACCCGTTCCATCTGCATTCGTCTCGGGCGCTGCAGATCTTCCGGGCAAACTGCAATACTTGTTCCACCCTCTGGATCATGAAACCTGATCTGAAGTCTGCATATTTCCGTTCTGGTAAGTGAATTAGGGCGCCGATTGAATGTTGGTGAGTGCCTGTATTCGGTGTTATTCCCAATGTAGACCGAGTTCGGATAGGCTAAAGTAGAACCCCCAAAACGTCCCCTACCTGTTCTTCCCGAAGCCGTTCGAATCCGTCAGACCCCACTCTAGTAACCGAAACACTCACCAGATTCTCAACCGTCTCAGCGATGATGCTGTTTAGGAGTTTAGGGTCCGGGGTTTTTACTTGAATGGCCTACATCTACTCAACTCTGGTAGCTCACCCTGTTTTCATCTACAACCTAAATCCTGAACTGAAGCCGCAGACCTCAATCCCGCCCCCCCCCCCCCCCCACTTGAGTACTGAAGTAGGCAGCCCCTCCAGCTTTCGTCTTGTTTGGTATATGTTCTGCTTCCACAATTGAATCGGGCCGGGGAGTGACAAGCTCGAATCCCTAAATCCATTGCGACAGATCATCTGCTTCGCGCCGATGATGGATCATGTTTGGAGGCTGATGGGCGGAAAGGATTACAAAGACTTTGCCCTCCCCTCCGACGCTCCACTTCTTTCCGAACTGCTGCCGAAAGAGTGGATTGCAGCGGTGGATGCGATGGCGGGTGCTGTCAACACGTGCCCTTTCTGCTATGCGAACTTTCAACTCTTCCAGGACTCGTCAGGGCTGTGTGTAGGCCTTTGAGCTTTGGGTTTTCCTTTAGTGGTTTCTCATTCGTGTTTCTACTGGCTGTCTAAAAGATTCTAAACGCCTTCCAGCTATCAGACTGCAGGGTAGTTCTGTCTTTGCTTTTGCGGATCAAAGCACAATCAAAGTAGACGCGTCGAGCTTTCATGGGCATAGTTTCACCGAGAACTCAAAACCCCTTACTTTATTCTTGAGAAGCGTAATTGAAGGCGTATGTCGGTATTTGTTATAGTTTCCTGGATCCTTCAGGAGACAGTCGAGATTGCTCAAAAGAAATGGGATGCAACCGCGAAGAGCTTCACAGTTCCCACGGATGTGCTCAGCGTGAAGACAATCAAATATGGCTCCATGGACTTGACCACGAAGAAGAACGATTACTTTGGCATCCGTGCCGGTGATTCCATTGGCGTCCGCATCCTGAACGTCGAGCCCTCAAGTGCAAACATTGGGGGATTCAACTACTACGACTACGCAACCCTGGTGCAGGACATAGTTAAAGTAATGCAGGATCCGCGCAACCAGGATGCAACGGGCAAGGTGCTGAAGTGGTTCGATTAAACTAGCAACTAGGCCCCCAAACGACAACCCTAAAGCACACCTAAATCCCAAACTCCACAAACCACAAGCCCTGAACCCTAAACCCTATCCGACTCCTTGACCACCAACTGTACCTCGAACCATCAGACCGATGCCAGTTCGGAGAAGTCAATCTCTCTCGTGCAAGGGTCCTTTAATTCGAAAGCAATCGCTAGGCCTGAGAAGTGAGCCGAACTTGCAGACTTTGTGGTTTCAGTGTTTCGGGATGATGGCATTTGGACTTTTGGTTTCTGCGGGTTTCCGAACAACAAGTCTTTACGCAATATGGAACATGACTTGTGTCTTGCACATACATGCAGTCTTAGATGCGTGTGCAAATATACTATATATATATACGCACATGTATAGTATAGGTACACATAGGTAGCATGTCGCTTGTGTAAATATGGGGCTGTGTACTATCCCCCCCGGCATTTCTGCACTGCTGTACTATTGTGGAACCAGCAACTGGTTTTGAAACCCAACGAAAACTCAAGCCCTTGACATCCTTGAATCTGGAGCATACAAACAATAGCGAATTCGCATGGTTTTGAGTCCAACTCGAAGCCAACACAACAGAAGCAGCATCTAAGTCTCTATGGATGATTATGGATGTTTCTCACCCCGAGCACTCCGGCGTGCACCATCCCCCTACAAGTGCTACGATTTCGTTTCGTTCCGCACCGGCTCTGCAAAGCTAGTTTGGAGACTAACCCGAAGAGTTGCAACAACCCATGTTTGCAGAATGCTGAAACCCGCACAACGTTAGGAATTCTATGACCCCCTCGTCGAAACCCTGTTACAATGTGCTAAAATCTTTGCCTTGAAGCCGTCGATACATCTTCGTATTTCATCATTTCAATTTTTCCAACAAGCGTGCTTTAGTCGTTAGTCTGGTTCAGTCATTCCTTGTAGCGAACTAGATTTTGGAACTAAATGTTTTCCGCCTTTGTACTGTAGTGCCGCAATCTCATTAAAGTCTCTGTTCTTGAACGCATTGCTGTGACGTTTTCGCAAACATATAGCTTTCAATAACATCCCTGTGCCCGTATGTGATTGCTTTTAAACACTGGTTTATCCGGTAGGTATACTTGGGTGTTGCATTCATAATTCTGTATAATGGCTGCCCCAAGCCGAAATTGAAAACTTGCATACTACAAACTTAGCAAACGTTGTATAGTGTTTTTCCTTGGGGACGACATGAGGTGTCGCTTCTTAGGCTTGGCACTGTTTCTATATGCTGAGTGATGAAGCCTTCGCTTTTTGTATCAGCATACCTTAACCATCACGTAAAGCCGACTGAAAATCATAAGGCTTCATCCAGCTTGTCCGAATTTATGTTTGTGTTCTATTGAAGGTCGAATAGAAGCCATTGTTCCCAGTCTAGAACGTGATTCCTCCTGTTAGAAGAAGTGGTAAACACACAGGGAATCACTCCTCGAAAGAGAGTTCAGCCATGTAGTTGGAAGTAGAATTGCTAGGAGTTTTCTACGCACCGAGCGAGGAAACCTAACAGCTTGCAAGCTGCAAGTTTTGTTTCGCTCACCACACATATTCTTATCAGTTTCGTATCATCGAAATCCTGCTTCCTCGGAACGATGTTTGAACATAACGTTGCAACCAGTTCGTCTATGTACGAAGTGATGAAACCTGACGACGGTGTAAACTGTAAAATACCGGCTCTCCCTGCAATGACATCGTATCAGCCGTATCTCAGCTTTCTCTGTACCGTGATATTCCAATGTTGACAACACTTACTGACCTACTGTAATCCCGATAGAGCCACGTCATATTCCGCATTTGATTCCTGGGTGAGTGATATGTAAGCGGTTATTCTCTCAATATGTACATAGATTGGCCTTTTTCTTATGAACCCGATGTACTGGAACCGACAGACCATTATGTAAAGTCTGCTTTATGGCCTTTCCGCTAAAGTCGGGGAATGTGCGTATGGCATATGGTCCCGGGAGTTATGTTTGTTACAAAGCACCGCATCATGCCTCAAAAAAGCCAATCATGCCGAATACCTCGGGCCATTCATTCTTCTAGTCCTTTCTTAATCCTCATTGTGGTTACATTCCCCCTGAAACCGAAACCTTTTTTGTAACGTTTGGATTTAGGTGTTGATGAAGTAGCGGTGTCACAGATTTGCTTCGTAAGGTTTGAAGGGTAACGCACAATCAAAGCACCCCAAGTTTGCAAACGACAACCCTGGTACATACACCCCCCGGCATTTCGATACACTTTACCAATATAATATTGCAGGTTCACCATCAAAGTGTTGGGTTTGACTTTTACTGCTTGGGGTTTGGCGCTAGGGTTTGGGGCAGACTTAAACCATTAAACCGTCTAAACCATTAAGCCAATAAGCCAATCCATTTGGTCTCTCGGGCACGGCGGGAGTCTTCAAACTCTGAACGGATTTTGTGGTCTGGTTATAACCTCTGTCTCTGGTAATAACCAGGACACCGGCGTAGTAGGCAGCCCTAGACCCATCAAACCATTAAACCAATCCATTTGGCTTACAGCGCACGGGAGGCCCAAACCATTAAACCAGTCCATTTGGCCTACAGGGCACGGGAGACCCAAACCATTAAACCATTAATCCAATCCATTTGGCCTATAAGGCACCGGAGGCCTAAACCAATAAACCATTAAACCAATCCGTTTGGCCTATGTATTGGTATGTTAGGTTCATTGGGGGAAATAATTGGTTTAATGGTTTTAGTGGTTTAGGGATGGGTCGAGGTTCATGAGGGGAAAGGATTGGCTTATATAATGGTTTATTGGTTTAGCGGTATGGGGCAAACGGATTGGTTTAATGGTTCAGTTGTATGGGGCAAAATGATTGGTGTCATGGTTTATTGGTATAATGGTTTAGTGGTATGGGGCAAAAGGATTAGGTTAATGGTTCATTGGTTTAGCGGTATAGCGCAAAAGGATTGGTTTAATGGTTTATTGGTTTGGTGGTTCAGGCGCCCTATTGGTTGTAACCAGACAGAAAGGTTATAACCATGTAAAGAAGAGTAAATGTCATTATTTTAATGTTTCCAACCTCGACAGACAGAAAATGCAGGGAGGGTATAAAATGTTACCCATGTGTATATATATATATATATATATATATATACATATGTTAATACATAAGGCTCAGCAGCAGGGTGCCCCTTGTGTTGGGTTTGGTGTTTCTTTGGACCACTGAGAGAAGCTGGCCAAGCAGTGACGACAGTCCAAACGACCCAAAACAGGTGCAGTGACCCATGATCAACACGACTGCATCCTCAGAGGCCATGCATGGTTGCTCCCAAGCAACGAGACCCAAGAAGCCATGCGGACATGCTTGTTGAACAAGGCCAGTCCCACCCAGTACCGCGGACCGCAGGGGACCCCACTCGAGCCCCAGCCCACCCAGGTACCGCACTACATTCACAACTAGTGGAGGCCACAGTCCCTACACAGCCCCTCGAGGACAGCGAGCGACAGTCGACCACGATGTGGACAACCCAGAACCTTTGGCCAAGCGCCGCAACACCGGGAATGCTGCAGCCAGCATGAGCGCACGGCTCACCGTACCCATCCTGCGGCGCGCCCAATAACTACCACAGCAACTGGTCCCTACACTGGTCGGGGATCAAGTCCCACTCGGCCCGGCCTGGCGATGGGGAGCATCGCGGCGCTGGCCGACGTCCACGCCCTGTTCCGAGGGGTTTGAAAGCTGGGGGTCCAGTGACATACGGGCACGGACATGCAGGACGAGGCCTGGGGAAAGAGACGCGAAGCGGTTCTACCGATGATGAGGACTACTTCGCCATGACCCACGAGTACACGAACGGAGACGCCCCCAACAAACAACCAATGTGACTTGAGCCCGCGAACTGAGCCGATCGGTGGCATAGTCATTCTAAATGACGCCGCACACAGACGTAGACGCATGCACGTGGCCTTTAGCCCTTGTCGGCTGCAAGACTGCCCGTAGGGCTAGCGAATGCAGCGCAATCAGTTTGCACGGGGCCATGAAGTTTCTCCAAGTGCTGTTGACGGGCCTGCACGTTCTCACGCATGGTCAGCTGTCACACACAACACGCTCTCATGCAAGCCAGAGCGACTGCGACAGACTCTGCACGAGTTGCGCTACAATAGGTTCGTGGGACTGCAAGGCACAAATCGCAGAGGCGGCCGAACTGATCCGGCAGTCACACAGTCGACGATTGACAAATTTCTCGTATTTGAGTTGCCCTGCCTCCCGGGCGGACTGTAACCAACTAAAGGAGCCGGGGTTATTGTCGGCATCCACCGTGCAGCCTTTAGCCTTCGAAACGTTGTTAGGGTGTTCGTGCCACCTGGAGAGTTCTCAGGCCGCATTGGTGCAGTGCGAGTCAAACGCCGTGGTGCGGACTTCTTTGTCATCTCAGCTTACATACCTGTGGAACCACGCACAGCAGCTGAACAACGAAAAGTCGCTCGATTATGGAAATACATACATTGATTCATTGAGCAGCTCCCCAGCAGATGTGTGCTCATTCTGTTGTGCGATGCTAACGGCAGGGTGGGTTCGACAGCTTCGTCAGGGATCGGCACAGCCAACTCTCTGCGTGAAAATTTTAACGGGTCTGAGCTGCGAAAGCTTGTTGATACAGAACATCTGGCCGCTGTCAACACGTTTCAGGCGGTCGGTCATACATGGCGGGGGCCACTCGGAGTCACGTCTAGAATCGACTACGTCGTAGTGCCGGCCAGCTTGAGCATTTCGCCGTGCAGAATACTGCGCAAAACTGCCATGGCGCTGCAACTCATACCAACACCGGGACGGCGGGATCACAAGCCTGGGCAAGTGGAGTTTCAACATGTTCTGGCATATGGCGAGTCGCAAGCACATCGTTTCGTGTGGGGTCGCGACAGCATGGTTCGATGCTTATTCTACGGGGAGGAGCGCAAACAATTTCTACAAGCAGTGGAAACGGCATGTTCAGATGAGCGCTGGGCAACAGTGGATGGCACAGAACAGACGTGGCAGGTGTTCAACGAGGCCATTCAAGATGTTTCCAAGCGGTTCTTCACCAAAGCTAGTCACACTGCGAAGCGGCACCCGCAAGACACCGAGGCAGCATTCTCGAACATGCCGGCCGCTAGACATCAACTGGTTTCGCAGCCTGACCGCAGGGTATGCATACATGACCCGATGCATCAAGACTTGCAGTTACTCCTTCATCGGTGGAAGCTTGTTCCTACATTCAGACGGACAAGGAGGGAGCATGACGAACTCTGCAAGCGTGACCGCCAAGTTGCTGAGAGGTCGCTTCTCGGTGAGTTCAACCATTATTGGCGCACTGGACACATGGCTAATGTGTGGAGTGGAGCACCGCTCGGCGCCTCTCCGGCAAAGCACTGGGGCCCAAACGGCGGCGATATGATGTACCTTTACGAGAACAGCCCAGCAAGAAAACATGGGAGGCATTTTTCGCATTGGATGGAGCAGATAGTGGATGCCGCGCCGTGGCGATCGACTTTGAGAAGAGATTGCATGCTGACAACCCAGCACTGCCCTGTACCCAACTCCACGTTCTGTCGCCGAAGCTACGAAGATGTCTCAGAGAGATCTGCAATGCATTCGTAAACACAAATGGAGACAACAGCTTCGCGAAGCAGTTCCACCTTGGAGTGTCCCAACCGAAGTGTGGCGTGTCCTTTTGTTTCCGCGCTGGCACCTACCTCCTCCACGTTACGGTGTGGGGTTCACACAAGACAGCGCTCCCACTCGCATTTCTACAGAAGGCTACAGCAGGTACTCACGCAAATACGCATGTTTGACAGTGCCCCGACACTCTGGCGGACCAGCGTGGGATTCAAAATCGACAAAGGGAAACGAAAAACGGGATGCGCTGCTGTGCGAGTGGTTAATTCGCTGGATCCGCTTGGCAAAGCCTTTTTCGCTCAGGTGTGGCAACATGGCCAGCCGCAATCTGCTCGGCGTTACGCTGCGGGATACAAAAGAGGAAAATCCCTCATTGAAGCAAGTGTTCAGCAACATGTGGTGGGATATCGCCTTCGACAGCATAAGTGCTCGTACAACAAATGCCTTTGATGTGGCCAACGCGTTTTACAGCCTTTACCACGACTGCCCTCATGAAGCAATGTCTACATGCGTGCATGATGATGACATTGGGTTGGTCAAGCAAAGGTACCGTGACAAAGCAGTGTGTGTCGAGGCGAGAGATGGCCGGGTGTGCGTACGACCGCAAACCGGCGCACTGCAGGGAGACACATGTGCTTCAGACATTTTGCTGGAAGTTTATCACCCACGAATTGACTGGTGGAATGACAGGTCTCCGCAAATCCTTGTCAAGGACCCCGTCACTCGTCATGTTGTGGATGTGTCGCTATCCACATATGCAGGTGATGTGTCGAAAACGATCATGTGCACGGATGCAGCGGACTTGGGAACTCAAGTGGATGTATTCAACTTCCATCTTGACGTAAGTCTGGAGCGAGCTGGTATGGCTCAAAACAAAGAGAAGCAAGAACACGTCCCGTGTTTCTGTGGTCAGGGCACGCAGCAACAGTACAAGAACATTCTTCAAGATCAGACATTGCCTGGCAGTTCCAAGCGTAGCGCTAAATACTTGGGTGGACAGCAACATCATCTGGACACCTGTGAAGATGAGATACAGCAGCGAGAAAGGGCAAGCTCGCGCTAGTTGGGCAACGTTTGGGCGATTATATGGTCTCGAAGCACACGGAGTTGTGCCTGACCATGTCAGAGCTGTTGTTACCAATCAATGCCCCTGGTATCGCATTGTGCATTGCATTGCAACATACGTGCGACCAGAAATCATGTCAATTCGGCCTTGCAGAACAAAGTAGGCCCGGGCCGAGGCAGTGTCTACACGTTTATACCTCGCATGCCAGAAACCTTGCAATGCCCAGCTTGTGAGCACGAAGCAGAGACTCTTGATGCGCTTCAAGATCATATTACGGTACGTTTTGCGGGGCCATGGTCGCATGTGGCGTAGCTCAGTTTTGTGGCACAAGCAGTGCTTGAGTGACGTAGCCTTGTGCATGATATCAACAAATGCAAAGGATTTCATTCATCGGGATCTGACTTGCTTATTTGCATTTACATGTGTATGTATATATGTTTGTATGTGGGTAGGTATGTACATATATGTTATGTGTATGTGTATGTATATAATTATATATATATATATATATGTCTGGTATGTATATATATATATATATCTACAGGTATTATAATTTGTTATAGCACACCGTGTTATATTATGTTATATCATATTATGCTACATTGTTTGTCAATGTTATAGTTTTTATAGCATATTTTTTACATATCGTATACCGTACAATATTTTATATATTATATATTATTTGATATATACTATATAGTACAGTATACTATTCATTACAAAATCTATGGTATGTATATATATATATATATAGATATATATACACATAATATTATATGTATACACATTATATGTACGCACATTGTTACACGTACATATACACACACATATATATATATATATATATATACATATTATATGATGTGTTTGTGCGCATGTGTATAATTACGTATGTGTTTTTGTGTATATGTATATATATATATATATGAATATGAGGGAAGTTTTCACGTATAGCGTTGAATATCCTTCTGCACTGGTAGACAAAAATTGTTTGATTAACCGCCGAATCTGGAATCGCTTACATCTCTTCAACGGCATGATGCGGCGGTATATGACATAGTATACAAACGCCGATTCTCGACTCGGTTTGAAACTGTAACTCTGGAATGCTCAGGTAAGGCTCCCACGAATTCTTAACGGCCGACGTACTACATACGTAGTGCTACAACAACAACTACGACTACGACGACGACTGCTACTACGACTACTACTGCTGATGCCACTGATACTACTGATACCACTCATACTACTACTACTACTACTACTACTACTACTACTATCATCATTACTGCTACTGCTACTGCTACTGCTACAGCTACGGCTACGGCTACTTCTACTGCTACTGCTACTGCTACGGCTACGGCTACTGTTGCTGCTACTGCAACAGTACTGCTATTGCTACTGCTATTGTTATTCGTTGCTGCACCTGCTGCTGATGGTGCTACTACTACTACGACTACTACCAGTACCACTACCACTACCACTACTACGACTACTACTACTACTACTACTACTACTACTACTACCAGTACCAGTACCAGTACCACTACCACTACCACTACCACTACTACTACTACTACTACTACGACTACTACTACTACTACTACTACTACTACTACTACTACTAGTGCTTCTGTTACTGTTACTGTTCCTGCTACTGCTACTGCTACGGTTTACTGTTACTGTTACTGCTACTGAAGGCAAGCGAAGGAACACTAAGCAGCTCATGATCGAACTTCACGGCCGCCTCACTGCGATAGCCAAGGACGCATCGGAGATGGAGAAGGCCAAGAAGCTCAATTGGACGGACGAGCGAGGACATTGGAGAGTGCTGAAATGGGATCCGCAGCGGCAGGAGCTCCAGGTCGACGAAAGCAAGATTACGGTCTCCACCGAGGACCTTCTCAAGCAGACGGTGGAGATGCGAAAAGGAGTCACGGAGGAGGCTCTGCAACGGTTTCGGAGTTACAAGAAGATGACCGATCAACCGGTCACCGAATGGATGCAGTTTCGCTTGGAGATCTCATTCCGACCCCTTTGGAGATCCAGTCTGGAATACACTACAGACGTGGGTAGGTCAGGCGGCATGGCATCTCTTCGGCTGTCGTCTTCGGCGCGAAAGGCCCCAATACAACGGCTTAGTCGAACAGGTGAGACATGGGATGTGATTCGTGGTGCGAGCCTCAGTCTCAGCGCCATCCTTCAGCTTAGCCTTCACAATACCAGCAATCTGTGCTACCTTAACACAGCTGTGCTCACGCTCGCATGGGCCACCTCTACACACTACACTCCTGTTTTAATGCCCTGGCAACGCGCCCTCGGCATAATCAAGCTCTTCAGGTCACACAACTTATGCAATGGCGACTGCTCCTTGGGCAATGGCCTCAGCTTGGCAGACAGCATGACATTTGCGAGTTCCTTGCATATTTGCTGCCTAGGAGTCTCTTTCTGAGTGCGGACTTAGTAGTCTCCCGATGGGAGGCTCGATGCTACCGACATGAGCAGCTCTGTGTACTGGACTCCGGTCCTGCCCACTTCCCCGTTCCGCTGCCTCTCTGTGCCGGTGAGGTGTGTCATCTGCAGTGGTGCATTGGTGGCTGGCATTCGCAGTCCAATGTTCATGCCTTGACTTCTCCAGCGCCACTTGTGTGTTTGCAGCTTCTTCGTTTTCATAACGAGGCCGGGGTTATGCAACGCGATACGCGGCCTCTCACAGGCCATCTCCACGTTGTTCATCTGCCGGTCTGCAAAGCTGGTAGTGAAGCAGAGCGGTGCAATCTAGACTGTGAGCATCTACCTTATCAGGTTGTGGCTATGGCATTGCATCATGGGGCGTCGCCGACCGAGGGACACTACCAAGCTGTCCTTTGTGGTCAGCCTTTCTATGGGGGAGATAAAAAGTGGCTCACTGATGATAACCTTTCTGCCTGCATCCACAATCATGCAGATTCCACGATACATCGCAATGCCACTTATGTGCTCTGGCTTGGGTATGAGCCAGGCCTTATTGTTGAGTGAGTGAAGCTTCAGATGTAGGACTATAGGCAGTGTGGTGCCGGCCACAGTGCCCGCCACAGACTCCAACAGAGAGTCCAATACAACCAAGTCGTATTGCGAGCTCGCTATGCAGACTACGGACGTCATGCAGCGTGGGGAATGAATAAATGTTACTGCTATTGTTACTGTTACTGTTACTGTTAATGTTACTACTACTACTACTACTACTACTACTACTACTACTACTACTACTACTACGACTACGACTAATGCTACTATCACTGTTACTGTTACTACTACCACTACTACTACTACTACTACTACTACTACTACTACTACTACGACTACTACGACTACGACTACGACTACGATTACGACTACTACTACTACTACTACTACTACTGCCACTACTACTCCTGTTGCTGCTACTACTACTACTACTACTACTACTACTACTACTACTATTACTAGTACTCCTACTGCTGATGATGCTGCTACTACTGCTGCTACTACTACTACTGATACTGCTGCCGCTACTACCACTGCAACAACAACAACTACTACCACCACTACTGTTGCTGCTGCTACTACTCCTACTCTATCGCTGCTGCTGCTGCTACTACTACTACTACTCCTACTACTACTACTACTACTATTACTACTACTACTACTACTACTACTACTACTACTACTACTACTACTACTACTACTACTACTACTACTACTACTACTACTACTACTACTACTACTACTACTACTACTACTACTACTACTACTAAACTACTACTACTACTACTACTACTACTACTACTACTACTACTACTACTACTACTACTACTACTACTACTACTACTACTACTACTACTACGTACTACTACTACTACTACTACTACTACTACTACTACTACTACTACTACTACTACTACTACTACTACTACTACTACTACTACTTACTACTACTTTTTATTGCTACTACTACTACTACTACTACTACTACTACTACTACTAGTACTACTACTAATAACTACTTCTGCTACGACCACCGCTTCTATTGACTTCTGCCATTGCGAGTATTACTGCCGTTGCTTCTTTTCACTATGGCAATTGCTATTTTTCTTCCGGTACTTACTGTTAGATCGTGAAACTAGTAGGGGAATTTCTTTCGACTTGAGCACGTCATAACCATGAGGCTGCTGGTTTCACAATTCGTGTCAATTCGAGAATCCATAATGAGATATGTTGGAACCAGCATAGCAGTGACGTTTCGGAAAAGTCGCAGAAGCTTTGGCATGCGATGCATGTATTGACGGCTGCGGCGTGCTACCGACCCTAGCACATCATGGTAGATGTTGAGTCGCTTTTGCAAGGATGCTTACTTTTCACTTCGGGGCAGTGAAAAGCGCTTGCCGGGCTAGCATCTATCGTTTTTTCGAGTGACAGTCAGGTTTTGGGGCATCCTCAACCCTAAACCCTGAGATTGGTGCTGATCCTTGGAAACTCCGCAGCTTGGGCCTAGGCCTAAAGCCTAAACGCTTTTAAAGATGCAAGCCCTAAAACTTCAAATGATCCTACAGTTACGTAGACTCAAGGCCCAAACACTCAGTGACAGCTTTAAGCCCTGGACCCCCGAGCTCTAAAGCCCCCTCGGCCCTTGACTGTAAACCCTCTCAGCCAGGCAACGCTGTAGTACGAGACCTAAACCCCAGAGCCTTCAGCAAGGCGTAGATCGAGCACAGCAACGGAAGTTCATTGAAAAGGTGGTATACACCTCCACAGAGACCCAAGTCGGTGGTGACGCTAGGAAAAAGAAGGTGAGTCGTACGTGTGTGGGGTTTCGGGCGTTGGGTTTACGGCTCCTGAGCGATGGGGAATTAAACAGAAATTGCGTGTGGCTGACTTTCAAAGTGCAGTTTCGAAGCGCTTACAAATAGGTTTCAGGCCAGGCGTTTTGCTTGGCAAAGTGCAACTGCGGAATTGGTACAGTAAAAAGGCTCCTCGAGTTGAGTTGAACTACTTCCCCCCAATCTTCCAATGCCAAACACGTCCCCAATAGGTACACGAGAAGGCCCCCACCGGCTACGCTCCCCGCACAACTCACCACTCCCAACTGCTCTCGCCATTCCCTTGAACCTCTTGATAGAAAGGGCTCCAACTCAGCCCCACACCCCACCGGCCTCACCGCCCTCACCACTCTCACCGCCTTCACCGACTCCGAACCGGACGCGTTCCAAGGTTTGGGAGTTGGTTCGGTTATTTGGAAAGAGCGAACTGCTTGGCAACTTGGTCGCTGAAGGGTGTCTCAAACCAGGTGTAGAGTTTAGACTTCCAACTTGCCTTACCTCGCATGCTCACAATGCTGACATGTGCATTCTTCCAATGGGCCCTGTGGTCTTTGCTGGTGGCGGAGGATGCGTGGGCAGAGAAGCAGGATCCGGAGCATCTTGGTCGTCATCTTGGGTATGCGTTTCTCTATTGATATCTATTTGTTTGTCTAGTCAGTGATTTACTCATATGTTGGCCATTTATTTACGTATTTATCTGTCTGTCTTATTCCTTGTCTTTGTATTTTCTATTTGTCTGTCTATCTATCTGTCTATTTATTTGTGTGTTTAGTTGGTTTACCGTTGTCGTTGACTTTGTCGTCGTCGTTGTTGTTGTTGTTGTTGTTGTTGTTGTTGTTGTTGTTGTTGTTGTTGTTGTTGTTGTTGTTGTTGTTGTTGTTGTTGTCTCCCTTCAATTCAACAGCAGTTAGTTCAGCATCATGTTTGTCTTCATTTTTTGTTTTTGCACCTAACCGTAGAGCCTTGGAGTCTCTAATGCGCTGACGTGCTGAATTTCATTTGACACTCCGAGACAAAAAGAGGACAATCCCCAAAACCTTCAACAGGTCCTGCTTGCTTCAGCATCGGCCCCTTCCGCCAGAGCTGGCCCCATTCCCGGCACCCACGGAGTCGACGCAGCGCATGTGGACCACGCCAGGTGGCTCCTCAAAGTAGTGGAGTTGAAGATTTCTTCGATGTGCGATTCTGTACGATCTTATTCTAAACGCCCTCCTGTCGTAACCTTCGGCCGAGGTGTCCACTTCCAGCAGTGCTCGACGAGAAAGCAGAGCCCGGCGAGCCCCATCCTGGCGCTCCAGGTGAACGACTCGCAGCTGCCTCCGAAGCCCACCTGCCAGCCAGGTCGGGCGCCGTGGGCTCTTGTATAGAGCCTGTAGAAGTTGAGGAAGGGTTGAGGGTTGTTCTTGAACCACTTCGCCTGCAAGGCGAGATGTTGATCGGCAGCTTTGAAAATGACTCCTACGTCTTCACTTGCTGTGCCGGTGAGGAGTGCAGTGGCTGCTCTGTCATGCGAGAAAGCAGCTGCGCCCAGTGCGCGTCTGGCTTTGTGTGGCAGACAATGCCAATTGTAAACAAGTCCAGGTGCTTCATTTGTGCCTGGGGCCAGCACAGCTCCACAGTGCTACAATGCATATCAAGCCAGCAGATACAGGCATGTAAGCTTGTGCTGCCAAGACATGATTTGCAAGAGTGCGGCAGTCAGTAAGGTGATGATTTGCCAGAGTGGAAGGACGCTAAAGGCAGGACTTGTGCAGACTATGAGTCGATCTGCCACTTGGATCCAGGCAGCAGCAGCTTTTTTGTTCTTTTTGTGCCGTTTTGCGTTGCTTCGGGGAAGGCAGGACTTAGTCTAAAGGCCTATTTAAGTAAGTACTCAAGCCCGGCCATAAGTTGGGTCGGGGACACATGGCTAACTTGTATGTATTTTATAATGTAGCTAACTTAGGTTATAAGCCTCCCAACTGAACTTATATTCTGCCTAAGTAGGCTAAGTCTGGTCCTGAACTTGGAGAAGTCTTGGAGCTTAGCAAGCAACTTATAACTTCGAGGGTCTGAGGCCACAGAATATACTTACGGAACTTGCGAAAATGAGTGAGCATTTTATGTCTTGATTTTTTTTGAAACGCATGCCGAAGAAAGGGTTTTGAACATTTGTGTTTTTTATGTGTTTTATCAGTTTTTAGTTGTAGATTTGTTTTCCTTATATGGCGTTGGTACGTGATGGTGCACGTGTTTGCAGCATGCCATATCGCCATAAACATGCCGAAATCGCGTCTGGAGCTTGAGAAGCATGATAAACAGCAGGTTGCGGCTCAAAGAAGCGTGTTTTAAGAGCAAAACTTGAGCAACACACAGCAGAAAACAACAACACACTGTAAAACACATCGTTATCATCGGATTCTCGCATGTCATGAGCAGACCTGGGTCACCATGGCATTCCCCCGTCCCCCTCCTGTGGTTTCGTTGTTTGGGGATGAGGGGTGGGGGTGTGGGAATTTGGGGGTCGGGGTTGGGTTGGCCATGGGTGTGGGTCAGGGGGCGTGGGCGTGGGCGTGTCGGTGTGGGCATGGGGGTGTGAGTGCGGGTGGGTGTGGGCGTCGGTGTGTGAGCGTAGGTGTCCGTGGGTGTGGCTGTGGGTGTGGGCGTGGGTGGTGTGGGCATGGGTGGTGGTGTGGGTGTGGGTGGTGTGGGTGGTGTGGGTGGTGTGGGTGGTGTGGGTGGTGTGGGTGGTGTGGGTGGTGTGGGTGGGGGTGGTGTGGGTGGTGTGGGTGGGGTGGGTGGTGTGGGTGGTGTGGGTGGGGTGGGGGTGGTGGTGTGGGTGGTGTGGTGGGGGTGGGTGGCGGGGGTGTGGTGGTGGGTGGGTGGCGTGGTGGTGGCGTGGGTGTGGTGGTGGGTGGTGTGGGTGTCGTGGGGTGGGTGGGTGGGTGGGTGGTGTGTGGTGGGTGGTGTGGGTGGTGTGGGTGGTGTGGGTGTGGGGTGGGTGTGGGTGTGGGTGGATGGTGTGGTGGTGTGGGTGGTGGGTGTGGTGGTGGGTGGTGTGGTGTGGTGTGGGGTGGTGTGGGTGGTGTGGTGTGTGGTGGTGGTGGTGTGGGTGGTGTGGGTGGTGTGGTGGTGTGGGTGGGTGTGGGTGCGTGGGTGGTGTGGGTGGTGGTGGGTTGGGGTGTGTGTGTGGGTGGTGTGGGTGGTGGTGGGTGTGGTGGGTGGGTGGTGGGGTGGTGTGGGTGGTGTGGGTGGGGTGGGTGGTGTGGGTGGTGTGGTGGTGGTGGTGTGGGTGGTGTGGGTGGTGTGGGTGGTGGTGGGTGGTGTGGGTGGTGTGGGTGGTGTGGTGGGTGTGGGTGGTGTGGTGGTGTGGGTGGTGTGGGTGGTGTGGGTGGTGTGGGTGGTGTGGGTGGTGTGGGTGGGGTGGTGTGGGTGGTGGGTGGTGGGTGGGGTGGGTGGTGTGGGTGGTGGGTGGTGGGTGGGTGGGTGGTGTGGTGGTGTGGTGGTGTGGGTGGTGTGGTGGTGGGGGGTGGGTGGGTGGGGTGTGGGGGTGGTGGTGGTGGGGTGGTGGGTGGGTGGGTGGGGGTGGTGGGTGGTGTGGTGGTGTGGTGTGTGGGTGGGTGGGGGGTGGGTGTGGGTGGTGTGGTGGGTGGGGTGGTGTGGGGTGGGTGGGTGTTGTGTGGGTGGTGTGGGTGGTGTGGGTGGTGTGGGTGGCGCAGGTGGCGTGGGTGGTTTGGGTGTTGTGGGTGGTGTGGGTGGTGTGGGTGGTGTTGGTGGTGTGGGTGGTGGGGTGGCATGGGTGGCGTGGGTGGTGTGGGTGGTGTGGGTGTGGGTGGTGTGGGTGGTGTGGGTGGTGTGGGTGGTGTGGGAGGTGTGGGTGGTGTGGGAGGTTTGGGAGGTGTGGGAGGTGTGGGAGGTGTGAGGAGTGGGAGGTGTGGGAGGCGTGGGAGGTTTGGAAAGTGTGGGAGGTGTGGGAGCTGTGGGTGTGGGTGTGGGTGGGTGAAAGGACTGGCTTGGCTGTTTTGTTTGGGGGCTGCCATGAGGGTTATGAGAAGATGCCCTATAAGAATGGTCATTATCACTATCCGGGCTCCGCTCAGCAATAAAGGCAATAGAGGTTTTTGGAACTAGAGGTTGAGGGTTCAAGGTTTCGGGATTAAGCATCCCTATAAACCCCATTTATAAACCATAAACCCTGAATGCCCATACGGTTTAGTGCAGAGAACAATATTACAGCTCTTTTCTTGTAAAGGCTGAGATTAAAGCCGACGTGAGAGAAAGAAGGGCTCAATTGTTTGGACTTCACTGCATGTCCATACTTTTGTCGCGTTTCCAAGTCCACATGTAGGCCCATGTAGGCTCAGAAACGATAAAATGTTGATTTCAGCAAACGCTGTGGTTTCCGCGTTTCATTTACTTATGCGCTCAAAAAGTAGAAAACATTTTTCAGTTTCAGTTTCAGACCTAAAAAATGCAGCTGCAGTGGCCCCTGGCATCCTTTTCCTTTAAATTCTGAATGAACCCTATAAACTTGAAAATCACAATCAAAAAACGACACCAATATACTTACGGAAGTTATAAGTATACTTGTAAGTTCCTACTTAGCAGGGTCTCTGTAAGCCCCCTAAACATATAAGTAGGTGTCCCCAGCTCAACTTGTGATTGTTGTTTGTAGAAAGGTGACGGCGGCTGGCCAGATCTTGAGAAAGACAAAGCTTTTCAGGGACTACGGCCCAGCGAGGCATGCTGTACCTGCGGAGGAGGCAGCATCTCACCCACTCCGGCACCTGGGCATTTGTTATTTTCTGTTACTTGAACGGCTAGGGCTTGATGCCTCGTATCGAACCCCTGAGCAATGAAGCGGCGGAGGTCGTAGGGGATTCGTTCTGCAGCAAAGAAGACTTGGGCATATCTTGATTCTAAATTCTGGGCACTGGTGCAACCCTACCGCCCTCGGTGCCGTCTGACCTAACCTCTCTAGAACCTTCTGAATCCTTCACGTGATGGCTTACGGCTTACAGAGCCAGAGGTGTCCCTGCCGCTTGCTGCCGAAGTTCTCTTTCAGGGCCAGGCGGTGGATGCTTATCCGGAACCATCTGCGATGGAGAGGGTGGAGGCAAGGAGCTGCATGGCCGGTTTTGTTCCTCCAAGCCCTATTCCGATTTGGGTTTTAGGATTTTCTTGTGGTTTAAGTTACGGTTTTTGAGCACGTAGTGATGCAAAAGGTGCTTCTGTAAGGGTAGCTTGGATTCAAAATTGCGGTGCCATGTGTGGCTTGTAGGAGTTCTAGTTTCCCCGCACACCCAAAAGCCTTCTCATTTGGAGTTGGAGTCTTGTTTTTTTGTGTGTTTTCGGCATTGAGGTTTGGGATTTTGTGGTGTAGCTGGGCTCCACCTGGCCTCCGACCGCACAACTCAATTCTAGAGTACCTAAACCCCAACTCGATCCGAAACACCCTCAGACCCTGAACCAGTTGTTGCTGAGTAGTGCTGAGACGCTGCAGCATTTGAGCCAGCACTGGGCATTGTTGAAAGCATCCATCCTCGGGTTTTTGTTCGGCCTGGGTGTTTAGGCTCTGCTGTGTTTTCGTGTATTCCCTGACATTTCGGGTGCAGAGAGGTCCCTTTTCCTTGCTAACCGGTTGTCTGATTTGGTGTTGGTGTTCCTAGTATTGCTGGGGGATATTAGTTCCTTTACCGAACTGTGTCACAGCAGACATGAGTGATAACTATATCATCTTTGCCAGGCGGGTGTCAAAAGCCCTGAACCACATCGCCATAACAGGTCGACGCAGGCTGTGACCTGGAAAGCGGGGGCTTGGCGCTGTCAACCTCTGGCCGAATCCACGGGACGGTCCATGCGCAGGCCCAAGGTTTAGCCAAATGCCCCGTCCTTTACAAATCGCTCCTTCCTGCTGAAACGGAGTACTCCTGGAGTGTCTTCTGTTTGCCTATGCTTGCAGAATCCCTTTTTTTCTGTGCAGGCCATCAAGTGCCAGATCACTGTGGTGCAGGACGCGGGGTCGTTTAGGGTGCACACCCTAAACACAAAAACACCTAAAACAAACGCTCTTAACCCAGACCCTTGGAAGTACTGTGCCTAAAAGAGAAAGCCTAGTTTCAGAAGCCCTGAGGCCAGAAGAGGCTCCGGAAGGTCCAGGCACTGAGACAGGCCATGTCAAATTGAATGCACCCCTCAAATTCTTGACTACTCTGAAATCCCTGAATTTTGAATGGGGTAGACTTATGACATCGGGCCAGTCAATCATTGAGGCAACCCAAAAGAGTTATTTGTATCTAAAGTTTGCCTCTCGTTTTTTCTCCGGATCTGCGTCCATAGTTTACCTCCTCCTTTTCCTCCGCATCATCCTCCTGATCTTCCTCACTGGTGTTATTCTCCTTCCAATCATCTCTTGTTGTCACCTCTTATTTGATACAATACAATAATATACTCTTTAATATTAACAATCATCCGCATGATCCAGGCCTCGACGCAACAACCAAAAAAGCATATGTTCCACCGAGACAAGAGTCGAGATGGAATGTTCGTCTATATAAAACAGCTTGCGGGACGGGCGGCCGATCTCGCTGGATGGCGGGTCCTTGTTGCGTTGCGCTGGCTGCTGGGGGATGTTTAGAGAGCAGCGGCTAGGGTGGGTAGAGAAGAGGAGGGTTGGCAGCAAGGGTGGGGCAAAGGGCTAATTTGGGGTTTGCTTCAAGTTTTTTTTGCAGGGCCAGGGCCACCGCAGGCCTCCCCTAAACAGGCCTGGCCAAATCCACGTGGAACTTGAGGTCAACTCTACCTCCTCTGAAGGACTTTAGGGCCCATTCAACATTTTACAGGGAGTCTTGTTTTTCAGTAGGAACCTCTATTAAGACGGTAAAGGCCTGTGTACTACCGGGTGTAGGGTTTAGTGACACTGACGGGTTCCTTCTGCTGGTTTTGAGATGACCGAACAGTCTTCTTGCCCTGAGTCCCTCCCCGAAGCAGTGTAAATCGTTCCGTTTGCGATCACGGTGTCGGGGAGGGGAGATTCATGGTGCAGGCCCTGGGATTGGAAGCCGAAACGTTTCGGAGGCGCAAAAGGCCTAGAGTCCAAGTCATAGAATCTGCTAGAATGAAGAACTGCCCTGAACCATCAATCAAGCCCTTAAGCCAGGACTCTGTGCGTGGTCTATCCTCCCAGCTTGTCTTGGACGTCCCGGTCCACGACTTCTCGTACGGCAGCTCTTTGGCTGCAGCGTATAAGGTTCTATTTGCAAGCTTTTTTTCCTGCCTCGAAGTCCGTTCACGAATTCTAGAATGTGCGAACAGAGTACGGAAAGAAATCATGCTGAATTCCTTCAGCATCACTTTCCGCAGAGCCAAAGGTTCTGTCGTCATGTTCAAATCTTGGCGCCTTGACGATCTGCCGGCCGAAGAAGCGACGAAGACCGTGCAGCACAGCAACAAAGAGAAGCTAAGCGTCTCCTCCGCATGCAGGGCGTTGGTTCTTATGGCAGGAAGCCATTAAACCCTCGAGCCCCCGCCCCCAAATCCAGAACCCCAAAAAAGACTCCTAAGATCCCAAAGCCCTGTTGGTCGCTCAGACCCTGGTTGAGGTCAGACAGAGCTTGCAGCAGCTTGCAGTCTTCGAAAGCGTGTGTTTACAACTCGTTATTTTGTAATCCTTGCATATCATTTGACTGTAAAGAGAAACCTTCGATTGGCTCCTGTGCGCATCCACACCCGCGAGGAACCCCAGGAATGTAAGCACATCAGCTCGGCTTCTTGTCATCTTGAGCCATTCCGTGACATCGTTCATGCTGCACTCTCCACATGAGCATGCAAATTTTCGGATCTCCACGGGCTCCATCCTTGCCAGATACAACACATGGACTCCGCAAACACATCTGCCGCACTTACTTCTGTACGACCACCCGAAAGCTGCACTGGCATGTCGGGCCAAGTCTGATTGTCGCTCGATCGCTAGGATCATCTGCGGCCCCAAACCAGCAAGCATACAAGTCCGAGCATCGGAAGGTGTAATCGGGACCCCAAACGACCTCTCGGTTCCACCGAACATATCATGCCATCCCCTCCCAGCGGAAGTTCGGGAAAAAGGGTTGTTACTTGTTTGTTGCATTGGAGGGGCGGAACGGAGGGCAGGAAGAGGATGCACGAAGTGGGCGGGGCCAGGAAATCTTAGTTCTCTTCGTCTAGCTGTTGGGCTGGAGCTACAAATTTGTGTCATGGCCCCACCATCCTTACACACGAAACTTTTTTTTTCTTTTTTTTTTTTGGGGGGGGGGGGGTACGTAAATGAAACACTATGTTCTTCGGTTTCATTTTCATGTTGCATAGCGCTGGTTACTTGGGGGGTCCTTCCCTACATTGAAGGATCTACATGCTGCAGAAGCCCGGGGGGAGCCGCTCCAGGGGCACCTTCCATTGTGGCAGCGATGGGCGACTGCGCTCCTGGATACGCTCGAGAACGCTCGAGTACGTGCTCGAGTGCTCTCGAGTATGCTCGTGTGCGCTCGAGTACGCTCGCTACTCGCGCATACTCGCGCACACTCGCCAATACCCGCGCAAACACATCTTTCTTCTGCAAAAGTTGTATGGGCATGCCAACCCAGGTGGCGACATCAAACCAGATGTAATTTAACATACGTGGCAAACGATTCTATGAACATTTGTTCGAAATCTTTCATTACAAGTTGCACTTGTGAAGTTGCCTCTCCGTGTGCATAGCATTTCTGGAGACTGGACTCCGCGAACAAAAGCGCCCGCAGCAGCAGTGCAGTAGGAAACAGAACCGAGAAACAGCAAATAACACCATAAAACAGGACACGAAACACAACAACACCAGTGATTTTTTTGTAGTTTCGCACGCTTTGTTTTTTTCCTGATTTGTTGTTTTAGATTTTGTATTTATTGACTGTTTTTTGCGTGCTTCTAGCATATTTCGTTTTGTTTTGTTGCTTTCTTGTGTTTTTTCAGTTGCACTTGTTGTCGGCCATCCGTAGATTTGGTTGTTCTTGCGATCTTGGCTGTAAAGCTGTCAAGGTGTCGTGTTTGGTGTGCTTGGGAGCGCGTGAACTCGCACGACAGTTTCGCGTGAAGACGAACGAAGCAAAGGCCTGTGTGTACCTTCTGCCCGCTATAAACCCCTTAAACACCGTTTTTTTCTGTGGATCTCGAGGCGACTTCGCGCTGCACTGCGTTCCGGAGTGCTCTTCCTGGCTCTCCATCGACAAAGCCACCGGCGAGCTCCAAGCAGTTAGGCCAGGTCCTCAAAGTCGCATAGCTCTGTCAAAAAAGAGTATTTCCGGGGTGGTTACCGGGTGGCTGCGTAAAGAAGTTCAGGGACTTCAGTGAATTCTGCGCTTGAGGATTTGGGGCTTCGGTTGTAGGGAGTTGTATGTGCGTGTGTGTGTGTGTGTGTGTGTGTGTGTGTGTGCACATACGTGTTCGCGTGTGCGTGTGCGTGTGTGCGTGTTTGTGTGCGCGCGTGTGTGCGTGTGCCAAGCGTCAACATTCCTGCGCCTGCCGAGTTGCACAGACAAATGCCTGCGTGGAACGTGTGGGTGGTCATTGGGAATCCCGAGTTGAACTGGCATGACAACTTTTCCTTGGCACCCGAGCGCCGCCAATGATGCCCACTGACCCGATGGGATGATAAGTTGCGAGCTGTCTGCAAGGCAGAGTTTCATGAAACGCAATGTTGGATGTATGTCGCTGAAGGCAGTGCATGCAGCGGCTGGAAACACAAAGCAGATAATTTCGTCAGCGAGTTTTTGCAGGCTGTACGGTGACGAATTTGCTTTAATAACGTTCCTCATTCCCCATGCCTTTATAGGACCGTAGTCGTTAACGGATCCGGACGGGCGAAAGCGCAAGCTTCCTTGAACCCTGCCACCCAATCCCTCATGAGCTGCATGAGCCCGAAGTTCTAAACACCTCGATCCTGAAACCCTGAGCCCCGTAAGCTTCTATCGAAGCCCCCTGAGTCTTACAAACGTTAAACCTTTCAAGGCTCAGTCTGAGAGAAACCTTAGTTGCACTTTGGAAGGCTCAGTTTGGGAGGAACCGTAGTTGCAAGGGAATGCGGAGGAGCCCTTAACGGGAATCTCCCCCATGTAACGATGGTTGCAGAAGAAGGTTATATTAGTTTAAGCACGTTTAAGCTTTATTCGGGTTTAGCCTTTAATTGTGAAAAAGGAGGAACGGGGTTGAGGCCAGTTTTGGCCTTGCTTTTTCTGATGCTTGCGCGCCTGGGTTTCTTTGTCGCGCTTCCCGCGATGCTCCTGTGAAGTTCGCACCTTGCTGGCACATCTTGCACTGATACAACACCTTCCCGGTAAACTTTGCTGACCGAAGGATGTGGTAAGCACCTCGCAAAGTGGCAGGCAAGTAAGTTTGATTTAGGAGGTGGAGCTTGGTAGCTTTCTAAATCTTGAGCTTCATGCGCTATGCCAGCATTCAAACAGGAATAGGAGCTTACTCTAGCGGGACATGCTAAACCGCGGCTTACAACTCCATTCGAAGTAAGCCTTCGGCCGGTTTTTGGTTAAGGGGCATTGGGGTCAGGACCATCACGCAGAAAGACGACACTTGGGGCGCTGTGCACGGCTTTCAAATGCCTGGTTGCAGCTGTCAGGCCAGGGGAGTGCGGGGTGCGGTGGTCCCGTTTTGCAAAGGTGCAGGCTCGGCTCTTTCACTTGGCTTCGCGTGTCTTCGCTGCTTTTTCGCTTATGAAGCTTTTTCCAATCTTTCCCCCGTGTGAGCGGTGCTGGAGGCTGCGTTTCAAAAAACACGCCATCAGGACTTGATGCAGAATTCGTATCGTTTTAACACTGGATATACGAGCAAACGCCGGATGGGGCTGCCCCGCCATATCGCTACTTTTCTTTTTTTTGCGGTGCAAGCTTGCTGCAAATAGACTGTATGGGAATTCTTTGAACACGTTATGGAGTAGAGCGCAATAGATGAATCCGTTTCGGTCTGCCCGTACGAGCTTGGAAGATGGGGGGGGCCCTGCGGCTGCGCCGCTTTCTTTTTGTCGTGCAAGCCCGTTATACGGCTGCAAGAACACTGACTGTCATCTCCCCAAGACCTGACTCCTGCTGCCTTCGGATTTCGGAACAGCTCCTGGTTGCTCAATGTCGGGTTCAGGCCTACTTAGCTCTATAAGCCCTATTGCCTATTGCCATGAGACTATACATAACTCGCTGTGCTGATGTGCGCTGTTGTATGCCTTCCCGCTTCATTTGGCTTGCCGAGATGACAGTGACAAAAACACCCTGGACCCTAAACCCGACTAGGGCATCCAGTGGACCACGGATCTTTATGATTTCCTGTGTCTGCGAGCGAATCTACGTTAGCTACAACGTTGACTTTCACCTTTGGCAGACAGCCTCACCCGGTTTGCCAAGTCGTGAGAGTCTTAGTCGAAAAAATCCCAAGCCATCCGAAACCCTAAATCCTGCGCACCCGGGGTTTTGGGCTTCGGGATGGCCTTAAACGCTAAGCATCCAAGCCCTTCACCTCACGTGGGTCACAAAACGTACAAATGTTCAACATCCTTCAGGAAAAGTTTTAAATCTTACAGATTGACTTGATTGCCTGGAGCTCCGCCCTCACATCGTGCCAGGTTTTGGCCTCGGATCAACCAGACCATCATGTCAATACCAGCTTCGTCGCAGTCCGTGCGCGTCTCTGGAAGGCCGTACGCATCTAGAGGGCATGTTCAGGAGTTGCATGTGCAGTCTTCCTTCGGGCTCCTTGCTTCAAAGCCCCAGTCCTGGAACAATATGCCCCAAAGACCAGCAGTCCCAGCAGTCCTATACGGCTTCTGTGCCGAGTGGAGAGCTGAAAGAGCAGGCGGGCGTCTACGAAGGTGTGGTTCTCGCGCGAGTGGGGCAGGAGATCGTGCCGGTACGTCTGAAGGAGGCTCTTGGCCCCCAGGCTACAGCTTACAAGTCTTCCAGTGGGTTGGCCTAAATTATTGGCCCTCTTGGGGTCTCCACGGTGTCGCATTTTGGCAATGTAGACCAGCATGGGTGTCCCAAACTGTGGTCACACGTACTTGTACCAAGTTTCGACATCCCATGGAACAGGGCGCCTCCTTTCCCTTCTATTGTTCATACCACAAGGCAAGAGTTTAGAGTTTTGGGTTTACTCAGGACCAACTCGGGGACGTGGAAGAGCCCTCAACCTCAGGCCCAGGCTTAGTCTTCAGCTTGTAGTTGTGGAGACTTGCCCATTGAGACCTCATCTGGCGAGTCCAGCTGTCAGTGCGTAAGCCCTTGGCACCACTCGTGGAAGTCTACCCTAGCGAGGAATCGCCTATAGTTTCGGGTTCATGTGAATGAAAGAACAGCGGCCACAATGGATTTCCGACCAAGGCAACGGGCTCCGTTGGTACAGACGACCCGGTCACAAGCTGGACGCGCCGGTGGTCGAGAATCCGACCAGCCTCTCATCCGTTAGTAGAGGGTTTTTTCGGGATCTCTCGAAACCCCAAGCCAGAGGTGTTAAGGCGGGCACCTCTTCCCTTGCCGTTCCTTTCTGAAGCCGCAGATACTTTCGGAGGATGTCGCGTTCGGAGCTTCAATTCAAACGCTGGGCCCGGTGCGTTGCTTCTCGAAGGCCTACAGTAGCCTCAAACTCCATGCAAGCCTAAACCCCAATACACTGAACCTCAAGCCCCAAACGCTAAACCCCAGAAGGCCCGCAACGTGTGAACTGTCAGAGGTGGGGAAACCTTTGTCGTTCCGGAGGCCTTTCCTCCCAGCCGCTGGACGCAATTTCGGGCCGGGTTGGGCGCTTCTCTGTTGAAAGTGGTTCCTGAAAGTGCTCAACTGCAGTGCTTAGTGGGTCTCAGGACTTTGCGCTTGTAGGGTGGAGCGCACAGGGGTGTTGACACTTGGGGCACCTGCGGCTCTTACCGTAGACTCTGAACCACCGCCCTAAACGCCACCCCGAAATCCTGCAAACGTTCGCTTTACAGCTCACACCCTAATCGCTGAGTAGACCCACATTTGCCGACCTCGGAAAGGGAAAGCTGAGCCTAACCACAACAAGGCTTCCTCTGGCTCCCGGACGCATTGGGGGACAACCCGCTCTGAATGGTAGTTTCAAAAGCAGGAGCCGCCGGGTCCGCCCGTCCTGCTGGGGCAGCGGCTATTTGCGGGTCGGCCCTGCTTAAACCTTTATACCCTAAAGCCCCAAAGGCCTTGAACGCACACCCTTTTCAAACACCCACTGCTTGACTCCAACAGCCATCTATGGCCGAAAGCCCGAGACCCCAAACCCGGAAGCCTCAAGCCTTGCACCCAAGCCCGAACGTCCTGAAGCTCGACAGTCCGAAGCCCCCCCGCCCCGAAAAGCCTTAAGCCCTATAAACTCCGAACATGATACAACCCCAAGATCAGAAGATGTTGCAATCATGAATTCATAAACGCCCCAAAATCCCAAGCCCCGCACCCCTAAATCGCCCCAGACCCGTTAAAGCTCAAACCCGAATGACCTCCGGGAGCCCTAACCCATTCAAAGCGCCCTTTAGCCTGCAAGAGACCGAGGCATCCTCGACGTCAAATGCACTGCGCAAGACGATCCGGACATACGCTTCGTATGGTCCCGGACCACCGGCGACGTCTCCGT